TTATTTATTTATTTATTTATTTATTTATTTATTTAATAGACTTGTCCCCGCCCATCTCCCCACAATGGGGGACTCTTTTCCTTCCACGTCCCTTGTCATCTTAGCTGCTCTCCCCCAAATACACTTCAATTTCTAAATCTTGTTCCTCAAGGACAGTGTAGAAAACTAGATGCAATACTCTAGTGGAGTCTGAAGAATGAGGAATAAAGAGGAACAATGATATATATACCTTTGATTTTTCCTACCTGTATGTAAGAATGTCACCTCAGTCAGCTCTGTACCAATGTCCAACCCACATTTCACCATCTTCTCCATTATGATCTCATGTGAAACTTGGTTAAACACTTGGCTGAAGTCAAGATATACTAGGTCCCAGATCTGCCCATTTTTTTAGTAAGGTATTTACATACACAGACACTGCCTTCCCTTTCCACTCACACAACTCTGGGTGGGTCTGTATTGGAACTATCACTCTACATAGTATCTTGGAATAGCACTAAGCAGTCCTCTTCTCCATGAATCTGTACTGTGACTCTATTAGTCAACCCATAAATCAGCCCTATGCTCCAAGGATGTGTCGATCAAGTCTAGTCCTGAAATATGACAGTGACACCCTTGCCAAATTGTCCCCTGAATCTAAATCTTTTTTCTGGATTCTAGAAAACAGAGCACCTCACAGAGGTCCATCATATCACCTGTTCACCTTGTTGAGGAGAATCACATGTTTATGCTATGCAAAGCACCTCATTCAGGTGATGCTGAGCTGCCTGAGAAAGGCTTAATCCCCAGTAATGATTGCAGCATTCAACTGGTGGAAGGATGGGAAGGCTGAAGAAAAGCCCGCTTGGATTACACTGTGAAATAGAGAATTGTGCTTTCATTTAGTTGGCCAAGAGTTTAAATCTGCCATCTATCCGATCATACTTGGGGAAAGGAATCAGTACAAATCTGAAATGAATCTATCCATCCATCCATCCATCCATCCATCCATCCATCCATCCATCCATCCACCTGATTTATGTAGCCCCCCCCCATCTCACACAAACGTCTCTGGGTGTTTTACAAGATTAAAACACACAAACCCACCAGACATAACCCCCAACACCTAAGGATAAACAATGACCCCACTGGCTATCAATAATAACAGAGTTCATCTACCCACCTGTCCCAATATTTTTTTGGAAGCAGTCAGGTCTTCAATGCCTTGTGAAACCCTAACAGGATTGGGGTCATCTGAATCTCTTTGATTGGCGATGCCCATTTTTGATCCAAAAAATTATCCTGAGGTGCCAACTCAAGCGTTCTAGACCACAGAGTAGCACACTGTGAAAATCCAACCCATGTAGTTAATGTATTATTTAGTCTGCAATGTGAAACTAGTTGGGCAAATGTATTAATTCATAGCTCATTTACCCACAGCTGAGCATTTTTATGAAGGCTCCTGTAGACAATAAGATTATTGTTTATAATAATGCATCTGCTTCCAACATTATCTGCTTTCTAGAAGAGGTCGGAAACAGAGTTTTTCTGGGGGGCTTTTGGAGTGGGACACTGTGAATTGTTTGCCATGTTTTAATATTTGTGTTTGATTATAATATTTGTGTTTGACTATTAAGTGCTATCTGTTACTGTGAGCAGCTGAGAGTCTTCTATAATTCTGGTGGGAAATAAATAAATAACTTTTCCTCTTCCTTTTCTATTAGGTGTATAAATTGTTCCCAAGGTTAATGGATTACCTCCCAGGGCCTCACAAGGAGGCCTTGGTTTCTGCAGAATTGATCCTTTCCTTTGTAAGGGAGGAAATAGAGAAACACAAGGAATTCCACTCTCGGCATAAGCCACAAGATTTCATTGATCACTATCTTCTTCAGATGGAGAAGGTATGGGTTTCTTGTACTTCAATACAGGGGCAAGGAATTATTACATTCCTTGCTATACATAAACAGGAAGAGCTACTGATACCATGTCCCTTCATCTTGGATTTTTTTTTCTTTTTCATTCAGCTCCCATTCTGAATTTACCCCATGGCAAATTCAGGTTGCTTCTGAATAAGAGCTGTATTGTAACTCTGCTCTCTTTAGACATGGAAGGTTCTTTGTGGCGGGAGGCAGAAATCAGTGGCTTTCATTTGTCATGTTCTCATGTTTGCCTACCACTCCTTTCCCCTTTTCTAAAGAAGTTTTGTTAAGACGACAAAGAATTAACAAGTTAGGGACTTTTGATTAATTCATACTTGACTCACTCCAAGAAATGATTGGAGAAGGACAGATATTTTCATAGCCTTGACCGTAAGAATAAATGTAAAATATTTTGAAATATGGAAAAAAAGTCCTCCCCTCCAATATTTTCAGAAAAAGACCCAGAATGATTTTTTAAAAGCAACTTTGATCAATGTGAAGTTACTTTGCACTCTGCT